TATATATATATATATATAATAAGAAAGCTATGTAAACAGAACTAATTATGTATTTTATTTTTAAAAAATGCTGCCCTTGAAACTGAAGCATAGCCTTTAAAGTACAGGAGACACTAATAATCTATTCTCCAGTTTGATCAATTTCTAAATTTCACTTTTGCATTGAGATATTTTTGTTCAAATCTTCTAGCTAGGGTGTTAATTATAACATTTCAGTATTTGAGAACACTTCTAGGATAGTTAGTATTAAAAGGATAGTAACAAGACAGCTACCACTTAATAGTTGAGTACTAGATTTGAGAATAAGAGAGGAAAATTTTTGCCAAGAGTTCTGTCTAGTCCAGGGCATGCATTATACCATTTCTTCATAGCATGTTATTGCTTCAAAAAATATGATATACTCTGCATCTGAACTCCTGAGGATTGAAATAAATAACAGGAATGAGGATTGTTAAGTGGTGACTTTTTCAATCAGAAGGATAAGTTCAGATAGTATAATTTTAGTATCAGATACTAAAATATTTAGTCTTGGTGGCTAGTTGGAAGCTTCACCTAATTGTATATGGGCGGCTCAAAAGCATTGATGTTTTAAAGTTAGTGTATCTTTACGTTGAAAAAATACACTGTTTAGATTTTTTATAGTAATAATATTGTCTTGGGGATAACTGTAGTGTTAAAAGGCTCAAGAATCAGAACATAATGAGCAGTTGATCATAGTCCTTAGGTATCCTTATTTTTGTACCTATCCTTGCATTTTTAATGATCTACCACATTTATAAGTACTTCCTGATGAATACTCTTTATTCAAAAAGAACCTGAATTGCCTTTTGGTACCTTACAGTTAATTTTAAAATAATGAAAAATATAAAGAATGCTATAAAAATCATTTTCACTGAAAACTAACAGTTGCTCACATTTTGTCTTATGTACTACCAATCATCAGTCTATGAAAGATGTATTATTGGAATAGCTAAAATCTGCTCTGAGCATCAATCTAGTCATAGTTTCCCATCCAAATCCGCAGAGGCAATAATTAATTTTGTGTCTATTCACCCAGGCCATGTTTATTTAATACCATTTGTATATAATACACACAGATATGATGATTTTGCAATTTTGTGAAATTTATGACTGAGATATTGCCATATAAATATCATTTTGCATCTTATTTTTATAAAAATCACTCATGAATCATTGGGATATGTTTTATGTGGTTATATGTATATCTAATTTATCACTTTTAAGTACTTCATGAATATACCAATTTATTTGTTTCTCTGTTGATAGACAACTAGATTGTCTACCATATTTTGGTTTTACAAATAAAACTATATTGAGCTTCCTGTACAAACTTCGTATTGTACACATGCTAATACTTTATAGGAATATATGACCAGACATTGACTTGCTGGATAGTAATTGGCTATTTGCATAGTCAGTTTACTAGATTACCAAATTACTCTCCAAATTGACTGTACTACCAGTAAGCATTAAAGCACCAGATTCCCATGTTCTTGCCAAAATTTTGGCCAATCTGCTGTGTGAAAGAAGTTATCATTGTTTTAATTTGTCTGTTCCCTGATTAGCAATATACATGAGCATCTATCTTCCTGTATGTTTCTTGGACATTCAGATTATTTTTTCTTCTGCAAATAGTGTACATCCTTAATCTCTTTTTTGTTGTTGTTGTTGGATTCCCTTTTAATTGTCTTGTAGCTCTTTATTATATATTACATTTACCAATCCTTTGCATGTGTTATAGAAGTCTATCATTTGTGTTTTAGTTTAGTATCTTGTTCATGGAAACATTTAAATTATTGATCTCTTCTTATTTAGATATCTTTGCTTGTATGGTTAACCATTGCTTTTTGTATCTTTTAAAGATATCCATCTCTACCTCAAGATATTTGATTAAATATACTACTAAATTGTTTTAGTTTTGTTTTCTTATTTTTCACTATTGAAATTCATGTGAAATCTATATTATGTGTAGTAATATGTAAATAGGTTGAATATGTTATTTTCTAATCAAATCTGGATACTTTTCAGAGTGAATGGAAAAACATTAAGTTTAAGATGCTGGGACAACAAGTGTAAGTGAGGACTATCCCAAACACTTTAGGATATATATCATTCTAAACTTGAATCTTATTTTCTTTTTAAATGGGAAGTATACATACCACTTATTATATAGGTTATTTCCTCATGAATTGTGATGGCAAGTCTGTCATATGCTAAGTTACTCTACACATGTGTAGAGTAACTCATTCCATACTTTCAGTCAGATAATTCTTCCTACTCTCTGTCAACACAGAGTCAAAATATGAAGCAATATAGAGGAATTCAACTGGAAAATACCATGAAAAATTAATGTGTCTTTTTTCCCCCTGCTTACTTATAGGCCTGTTGGTTATGTCTTTCATGAGTCTTATTTTTTTTCCTCTGAGAAATATCTAATTTCATCACAAGAGATTCTAATTTTTGTCATTTTAATGTTATTATTTAAACTTTCCCCTTCCAGGATCATATGAAGATAGCACAATTCTAACTATAGCAGGCTCTGGATTTTCTCTTAGCTCAGCTGTATCAGTCTCAGTTGGACCAACTAGTTGTTCTCTTCTTTCTGTGAATGGTAGGTTCTTTTTAAAAATTATGAAGTCTTATTGTTCTTCTTTGAGAGAAATTAGAATCAAATAGCAGTTTTACAAATATGATCATCATGTAGTGTGTCCTGTGGAATCACAAAGTTGGCAACCCGTTCTGGATAATGCCATATCTTTTTACCTTTGATTATGACCACAGGCAAATTATTTCATTGATATACAACATCTTTACCCCATAACAGTTGATTTTTGGTTTATTTGTCTTTTTTTTCCCATCACAAAGTGGTTACATAAGATACTTCTTAGATTGTTTTGTCTGGAGGCACAAAAGTGTTCTGAGTTCTACCGTAGTCTACCATGGTCTTCTCTGCCTGTATTTTGACAGTGTTATATTATTCATGTAGCAAGAAGATGTGGCCATTTTTCCTGAATTCTACTCCAACAGACTTTTCTCCAGTGATGCAGAAGTTATATATCATTCACAATGTCTACCTCTTGAAATTGGGAGGTCCATAGCTATTTCCCCAAAAGTTATCTTTCAAGATCCTAGGTGTTTTCCATAATTTCAATAGATTAGAATTATGCAGATTGGAATCATTTCTGTTGTCCTTAATTTAAATCTACTATGAGCTTTTGAGGTCAAATACTCAATACTGTATCTATATTACTAGTTTACATAAACTATTCTAAATAAAGTGAACAACATTGTTTTCATTAAGGTTTATTTGTCTCTTTTATTAATAGAATGTATTATTTTACTCAATTTTTGACATAAACAGTATATTGTAAAACTTTAGAATCATTCATATAAATGAGATTACAAATTAAGATTTTAAAAATTATGACCGTAATTTTCTTTGGCTACAGTAGCATCAAGGGAAGATTGTTTGCTTTCATTACTGATTTTCTAGGAGTGTCTGATTCATAGCATCAGGTAGTTGGCAAAGATTTTTCCCTCCATGATTCCCCTTGACCATTAATATATGTATAGTATTCTTTATACACGTTTCCTAGGATCTAAAAATTAAGGCCAATGTTAATATTTGCAAATAAAATTTCAAATAATTTTATCTCAAAAAACTATTTTTTTAATCATTTCTTCTTCTTTTTCTATCACAAGAAAATGAGATCAAGTGCCAGATTCTGAATGGAAGTGCTGGACATGTACCAGTTGCTGTGTCCATAGCTGATGTTGGACTAGCACAGAATGTAGAGGGTGAAGGATTCCACTTCATTTATGAGAGTCGGATCTCACACATCTGGCCTGATTCTGGAAGCCTGGCAGGTAATAATAAATAGTTCTCAACAGAGAAAATCTCATACATTTACACATTTTATTGTGCTGTTTTTAGTACAGAGCAAAGGGAAGGTAACCAAAAACTCCCTCATATAGAACAAAGGAGAGTCTCCTTTAGAAGGCACAGTGATTAAATGGTTGACTAATTCTTTTGTTTCTTGTGGAGCACAAGTCAGGGTGACTGCTTATACTTATATCTTAGGTTATTGAATTAATATCATCAATTATTACATGTTTCTATAACAAGCTCATTAATTATGTCAGCATAAGATTTATTAGTAATTATTCTGCTTACCAGCTGCTCCATTTGTAACCATAGTCTCAATGGAGCTACTTGACCCAGATAAAGTTCCTGGAACACATGGGGCAAAGGAAGGCTGACAAAGAAGATGGAGAGAAAATAACACATTCTTCTTGTCCTGCTTCATTTCCTCTGTATTTTTGTTGTTGTTGTTGTTGTTTGTTTGTTTTTACCATGCCTTATTTCAGGTTTTCTGCTTTGGTTTTGATGTTTTTGGTGTTCTTAAAAATATTATTTTTATTTATTGGGTGTTTTTTTTTTTTCCTGGATTTTCTTTTACTTGGAGGTATTAAAAATTCGGATTTGGTGAGAGGCTTCATTTTCCCACCCATGGAACGTTTTTTTTTTTTTTTTTTTTTTTTTTTTTAAACAAGAAGTTTATTTAAACAACAAGACGCTTGACTTGAAGGGAAAACTATCTAGGAATCTTTTTTAAGAGTAATTTACCCCTACTTAAAGACAGATTGCCCTACATGTAACAGCTACGTACAAAAAAGTTATAAAATTGTCCTTGGTTTTACAATGATAAATGAAAAACATTAAAATTCTCCAATCGAACAAGGTATGCAAGGATTTTTATGTTGTTCAGGTTTTTTTTTTTGTTGTTTTTTTGTTTTTTGTTAAAACAGTGAGAGCAAAATAACTTACTGGAATATAAAGATAAGAGCTGAATGAGCATGCCACTAATGGAGAAAGGGGATATTTTCACAGAACCAGTATTTTTCCCCATCCCATCTCCATTTGATGTCAATCAAAACATATCATTGGCCATTTAGTTTAAAAAAAAAATGCAATATGCTTGTGCACATACACCAGTTACTTTATGTACAATAAAGGAATGGGGAAGGGGAAAATGAAAGAATAAAGAAAACTATACTGTAGTAGTCAGGATGTGGTGGAACCAAATTGCAGTTTTCTAATTGAGAATGTATTCTTGGTCTGTAAGAACAGAGTTCTGGAGTAAAGTAGCAGGTTCCCTTTTTAGTAGACACCTCCTGTCTGCTGCTGGAACACATCAATTGTATCTTCATCCTCCATTTCCAACTGTGCAGGTGTGTCTGTTTCATTAATTGGCTGCCCGTCAAATCGGAATCTGATCTGCCTCATCGACAAACCCTGTCGTTCACAATATGCTTTCATTAGTTTACTAAGTGGTGTATGCCTCTTAATCTTAAACTGCACCACAGAACCATCCTGCCCCGCCACCTTCAAGTTAATATGATCGTTGTTCTCAGTCTTGACTCCTTCCTTGGGCTTTTCGTCGGCCATGGCGAGCGCCGGAGTCTCCTCAGCTGCCGCTTCACAAAAGAGGTACCAGGTCCGCACCGAACGAGCACACAAGCAGCTCCAGGAGCGGCAGAAGAAGGAGGCGGCAGCGGTGGACGAGGGAGAGGGCGCGCGCACGTCGTGCGCTCCCATGGAACGTTTAAGTAAATAGAAACAACAGACTTTCTCTTTAGAATGAAGAAAGTACTGTGGAAAATAATAGTTGCTGCTAATCATGCCCCAGAGCAAATGTGGGCTGCAAATCTGTGCTACTTATCTTAGCCCCATTCCTTTAGAATTCCAGGCTTCAGAGCCCAGACTCAGGTGTGTGATGGTGAACAAACAAGTCTTTATTCTGGTTCTTGATCTATTTGACTGTCCAGCTCTTAGATAACTGGGCAGTTTTCCAATGATGAGATAGATGTTGCCAAATTTTCTTCTTATTTTATTTTATATTAAATAAATAAATTAAATAAATAAATATAAATATATTTATATTAAATAAAATTTAAATTTTCGTTAATCTGCTTTTTGTTTTTGTTTTCTTTATAAAGGTGGTACTCTACTGACTGTATCTGGATTTGGCTTTAGTGAAAATTCAAAGGTTTTAGTTGGAAATGAAACCTGCAGTGTGACTGAAGGGGATTTGAATAAGATAACTTGCAGAACACCAAAAGTAAGCCCCCTGATTTCAGTTTTTTCCCCTAAGTTAAAAATCTTTACATCTGGGCAGAGGGTGAAACAAATGAATTATTTTCTAAAAATTGTAGTTTCGGTTTTGCTTTTTAAAGAATTATTTGTTCGGGGCTGGGGATGTGGCTCAAGTGGTAGCACGCTCACCTAGCATGCATGAGGCACTTGGTTCAATTCTCAGCAGCACCACATAAAAAATAAAATAAAGATATTGTGTCCCCCTAAAAAACTAAAAAATAAATATTTTTTAAAAAGACTTATTTCTTCAACATCTTCCTGCCAAGATTTTAAGACAAAATACCATCTCAACATTCTAGGTACTTAAAAATCATGAAAAAGAACACACAAACCAATATTAAACTTAAACAGTGTGTTCCAGTGGAAATATTAGTAGTAGATACAAAGTAAAGATAAAATATAGTGGAAAGGGTGTGTCAGAAAAACATTTCATTGAAAAGTTAGTGTCCTGTTATTATTTGAAGATACATAGAAGGTTACTATGTAAACCAAAAGGTGAAAAAAAATCAGTATTTACAAATATTCTAAAAAATTCACAAGAAAATGTAGAAACTTTTAATTTTTAAAAAGAAATATATTTTTAAATGTGTTTAAGTTTGTTGACAAAAATGTGACTTTTTCATGGAATATGAAAATGTTAGGTCAATAATGATTCTTTATTTTTAAAACTAATCTTTAAATTTAAACAAAGGCTCTGGTTTGTCAATTATGTACAAAAGGATAATGAATTTAGTCATGGACATAAAAAATGTAACAGAGTAAATGGGGTTATTACATAGTTGTGATCTGTAGAAAATAAATGAGTGTATGCTGGACTGAATGATGGAGAGAAGAATCTGAGGGATATGATGAATTAAAATTTACTTTCTTTCAATTATGACATTCAGCTACATGCTAAATATGCAATAAATAAACACCAGATAATTGAAAAAAACTGTTTTTCCTAATTGGGAATTGCATAGATATTGTATCAATGAAAGCACCAAATATTTTTTTTGAGAGGTCCAAGTGTTTAGTGTTGGATTCTCAAACTAGATTAGCAGAAGATATAATAATGTGATTTGCGAATGAAATAGAATAATTGCATTTGAGTCTATTCCAGGAACAAAAAGGCACAATTTTTATTTAGTATCTTATCCTTAATCAAATAGAGAAGCACTTGTCCAGAGCATCTCAACTTCATTGTGGAGCCCTCAAAATCCAATAATACAGATTCTTTAAAGTTGATCATAAAAATCACTGTATTATATATCTTGATAATTCAAACATATAATTTGTATTTGATGTCATGGTTTTTTAAATATCTGAAAACTGACTCATGACTTTTAAACATAATAATTTCAGAAGTTTGTTTTAATTAATTCTATTTCTTTCAGACAATGAATTTCTATCACATTCAACATTTAGTATTTCTTAATTGTTTTATTTTTTCCTTTTGTTTTAGAGAATTGAGGGTACAGTTGATATTTCAGTTATTACCAATGGATTTCAAACCACAGCAAAGGATGTTTTCAGTTATAATTGTTTACAGACTCCAGTTATAACTGATTTTAGTCCAAAAGTACGAACAATTCTAGGTAAGAAATCTTTTAATAAGACCAGTTATTTGACATACATAGAGAAACCACTTCCAGAAATTCCTTCAAAGCACAGTCTAATACAGTTTTGTTTCTTAAAATAAGTAAGTCACAGTTTGTTTTTCATCTTTCTTTTTTAATATCAATTTTCTATTTATAATTTTACTTTTAAAATTTGCAACATGGAGAAAATTATTATTGTTTTAAAAAGTACTTTATCCTTTTTTTCCTTGTGAAACAGTTAAACCTGAGTTTTATCTCCACATGCCAGCCATCTACTTTTTTGTTGTTTCTCCATTTACCTCTGATAGAGTTAGGATTACCTACATCTAATGAAAGAAAAGAGAATTGAGTTGACTTATTTAATATGCAAATTTTCACACTGGATAATAAATTGAAACCTTCTGCAAAAGTTTTTTTTTTCTTCTGAAATAATAGGAGATGTTAATTTAACAATTAAGGGTTATAACTTTGGAAATGAACTCACACAAAACATGGTGGTGTATGTTGGACGAAAACCCTGCCAGGTTCTTCACTGGAACTTTACCGATATTCGATGCCTTTTGCCTACATTGTCTCCTGGAAAGCATGATATCCATGTAGAAGTCAGAAATTGGGGCTTTGCATCAACAAGGTATGGTAATAAACATAAACTTGAAAGAGTTGTGGAACACAAGGGGCTAATAGCATTGGGACAGGAAAATAAATAATCTTTGATCTTTAATATATGAATTGCTATTGTTGCCTTTATGTATCTTCTTTTGCCAAAGACTCTGAGAAAATCTCAGAAAAATTTAATATGACACTTAGTTGTGAGACCAATACCATTCAGATCAGCTAGTAAAATTCTCTGTGCATCTAGGTTTGTGTATGTCACATGATTTTCATTCATTCAGAAAATACTTGTCAAACAGTTTCTAGGGGACAAGCACTTGCTTAATGCTGGACTCACAGTAGAGAATAAAAGGGGCATGTTACCCACATTAATGGTGCTCACGGTTTTATTGGAGAAATCAATTATGAACAGAAAATTACATCAATAATCTAATCATAAATGTGGAAAAGACTATGAATAAGAGGTACCAGGTGTTAATAAAAAGGTAATAAATGTAGCTAACTTATCCTAAGGTACAGGGAAGCATTTTCTGTAAAGGTGATAATTAAGCCAGGAAATAGGTAGGTAGGTGCTAGCCATCTGAAGGGCAGGAAGAGAATTTTTCTCTGATTCTATTTCCATAGGGATTTAGTATTTTCTTCCCTGAAACTCTTTGTTTACTTGTAACAACTTTAATTCTTGTGTGACTAATTACTAATGTGGAATACTTAGAAGAAAGGAACACTGAAATTTAGGGATTAAAAAGAAGACAAATAAAGCTGATTTCAGAATGGAATGAGAGATGACAGCAGCAGAATCTTGCAGGAGATGAAGATGAGCAACAGAAACCATAATCCCAAGGTTACATTCCCTTTCAATCTGATTTGAGTTAATATTATCTCACAGAGAATAGCTCACATGAGTTTTAGAAGGCTCTGGCTTGTACTTTGGCTGGATGATATAATGTGCAGGATTGATACCATACAAATTGTATATTTAGGTGGTAGTTGAAGAAATACTAATTTAGTTATGCTGAAGAAGTTAAATAAAAGTTAATACAAAGATTCACTGGAATTTTTCTGCCTGTGCAGTTATGTGAGACTTGGAATAAGGGAGTCAACTCTATATCAGGTCAGAAAAGCACTGTACATTATTATGGGCTTCTAGCAGACATATTCTAACTATAACAAAGAAAAATAAATTAAAATCTCTCATGGAGATGGGGGAAGGGAAATCCTATAAGTTCCCAACAAACATGGAATGATTAATTTAAATTAATTACACAAAATTTTATTACTCATATAAAATATATGACTTTTTTCTTTTTTATATGTAGAACTGCCTTTATTTTTTATTCTAATGTGGATATATTTTAAAGGCTTTCCTGTATTTCTTGTGATCTCATTTCTCATGACCAGATTTTTCATAGTAGTTTCAGATTTTCTATCTCAAATTTGTGCTGTCAGATTTTCAAAAATCTAATTTAAAATTACTAACATATAGCACCCAACCAAATTGAGGTTATGATAATTCAGATTATCTAGTCTTAAAAATGATATGTAATTACATATAGATTCAATTATTTCCTCTTCCTAAAAAAGTCATATACTTTTAAGAGTTTCAAAATATGAGCCCATGAGAAGGAAATTCATTAGGAAAATCTATTTTTTTTCCTTTTCAGAGATAAATTAAATGCTTCAATTTGGTATATTTTGAAAGTGACCAACATGTTTCCACAGAGAGGCTCCTTGTATGGTGGGACTGAAATCACTGTACTGGGTTTTGGGTTCAGCACCATACCAATGGAGAATACGGTCCTCTTAGGTAAGAGCTATATTCCCCTGTGAGGGATATTGCCATTTTTCTCAGCTAAAAGGATGTACTATAGGTGCTGAGTTATTACACAAATACTATCAATCATGGAAACATTACTGTTCTATTAATGTAAAGAATGTTAAGTATATTTGGTTAAGGGGATGAAGAAAATCTGAATAAACTGCTTTCAAACTTTAGATTTTCAGTCAATTAATATTATATATTTTATGTATATAGATCACTTAAAGGAGGAGGGGTCAGTTTTGAAAATAATCAGTTCTCAAACATGATTACCATTAAAAACAATATCCTACCATATAACACAGATTTTGACAAAACCTTGACTGTTTACTAAGCTCCATTTCTTCACAAGAAATATTTGAGAAAAAAAATCTTTTCCATCTTTGTTTTTTTCTAGGATCCTTTCCATGCAATGTTACATCATCA